TGAGTAGTATACTTTTGTCTGTGGTTAGGAATTGTTCCATTTAACCCCATGGACAGGCATAATTTCTAGTGAGCGCAACATGTTGAGTGTCCAGGGGTATGTCTACACTACCACCCTAGTTCGAATTAGAGTGGTAATGTAGGCAACCGGAGTTGCAAATGAAGCCCGGGATTTGAATTTCTTGGGCTTCATTTGCATTTTGCCGGGCGCCGCCATTTTAAAATGTCTGCTAGTGCGGACTCCGTGCCTCGTGTAGCCGCGCGGCACGGAGTCTGCACTAGCGGACATTTAAAAATGGCGGCGCCCGGCAAGATGCAAATGAAGCCTGGGAAATTCAAATCCCGGGCTTCATTTGCAACTCTGGTTGCCTAAATACCCCTATAGAGATAGCAGTGAACGGCAGGAACATGCTGTCTGAAGAGGATCAGTATTTCCTCTTCTCTGCACTGCGTACCCTCAGAGCAATATAATCTTCATTGTCTGTCAACATCGTGCTTACACCAACATAATGCCCATGCCAATAATAGACCCGTGGTGTTTTCAGTAGCAATCTGGAATTCACAGTAACCAGAGTCTCTTGCTCTTCATGTCCTGTAAACCACAAATTGTGGCTCTTCTTAAAAACTTGACCTCTGACATGATTAACATGTGTCTGCTGAAATTTCATGTAACCCATGCTAAATAGTTTTAGGATTATTTTGGAAACTGACTGGCCTAAAGGGATTGGGGTGAAGTTTAGTCAGGACAATGGGAAAGCCTCACTTTTTATGGAGTTCCAGACTTCCACTCAAAGCTACATGAAAGGGACAGGAGTCCCAGGGCATCTGTGTAAAGGGGTTGTCTACCTGTGCTGCTTCTGATACCCTATCTCTCTCCTCAACAGTATGCCTTCTTATCAAGTCATGTTGGTGCTGGGTCCCACTACCTGCCAGTGCCTCTTACCTTTTTCCATTCCCTTTCCAAAGGGAGGATAGAAGGCACAGAGGGTAGGTAAATATTAGCTCATCTGTTGGCATTTTTAGAGTGGAGTTTTCCCCCTGATGCCAGAAGGAGACATGGTGCATAGAATGACTAGTTCCTAGGACTCCACCCCATCTGCCAGAGATCCTTCTCTTCATTCTCCTCCTGAAGATCCCTTCCCATACCGTAGTTACATTGTATTTGGGTGCTGCTTAAGACTGATGCCACACCTCTGGCACTATTCCTTTCCACCCTTCCTTCCTTTAACATTCCATCTGCACCAGTGCTTGTAGTGCCAGAGGTGGGCACTACGAAACTAGTCTAGAATCTTGCCTCTTTCCGCTGGAGTGAGTGTGACTGTGACAAAAAGCCCATGTGTTCATAAAAGATGAGGGAATCAGATTCTACTCAACTCTTTAATAAAAAAAAAAAGGCAGATGGAATCAAAACGTGTTTGGAACTCACTTGGTCTTAAGAGGCTCACCCAACTCAAGGAAACTCTCTAGATTGGCCAAGCACTAAATTTATTGTCTTGTACCTCTCGTAGAGGCTGATTTCTTCTCCTGTTTGCTAAGAACCAAGAGTCCATGGAAAGTGCCTCTTTCCTTTAGATTAATTGAAGTCTACAGAAAATCAAATACCACTAATGTCTGAGGTGCTCTGGAGTGCAGTCTGAATGTGTCAGTAAGTAGTACAATGTAAAAGGGCTTCTTCCAAATATTCTGGTGATTGCTTAGATGAGAAGTTATTGATGATCATGGTGGCACACTGACCATTCTCCAGGGACAGACAGGAAAAAGTCATAAGGTTTTTGCTGTAGGAAGCTAACACTGGCAGAGGCTGGAAAATTTAGAGTTATCTTGGATGAAACTAAGTGGGTGGCTAAAGGAGTATCACTCATCTGTTAGTTTTCGCTTGTTTCCCTATGCTGACTTTTATATATCGTGGGTGTATTTTGAGAATTTAACCGTTAATCACCTTGGGCTTGAAAGTACTGAGTGGGAATGGAAGGTTCCTAGCAGAGATGAGAGCCTCTGAAAGCCGAAGCAAGGAAAAGATTGTTTTTCGCTTCATGAAGCCCTTAAAAAATGAACAGGGAACATACCACAAATGAGGATCTGAGACTGGAAAACAAAATTGCCTATCTTATTTTTGGCAACATGTAATCATGGCAATGCATCCAAAAAAAGGTACAACACTCAATGCTGGAAATGCATTATACCCTAAAATGGCAACAGAATGATGTAAAAGCAAAGGCTATTTTAAGCATGGTCACAAAATATAAGTATTCCAAAAGATTCCCTGTTTCTTCCCATAGGAGTGTTTATAGGTTGCATATATTCATTTATGTTGAAAGAATGCAAGATTTATATGATGGGTCTCCTTTTAATTTAAATACATTGATTATGTTGGCTTCTTTTGTTTAAAGTAAATGTGTGTAGAGAATGATAAAAGTGCATCTGTGAAGGCCATTTTAGTCATTTATTTTAAAGCTAAAAGCCAACTGATGGGGGTCCAAGTAAAATAATTAATTATGTGGGAGATCAAACACACATACCAAAGCAACTTTGTTTTGAATGGGAGGTGATGCATTAATAGCAGGAAGAAGGGACTATGACAGGCCCCACTTAAAACTGGGGACTTGAGTCCAGCTAAGCTCTTGCCAATTGTAAGCAGCTAAATCATTTATCTTAATGCTTTTGGGAATCTAAACTTTTTGTCCTTGGATGACTTTTAGTGGGGAGTGTCTGAAATTCAGAATGAGGGGTTAAAATGGGATCTGTGAGTGACCCAACAAAGTTATTTTAGTATTTGAGGTATCTTTCTCTTATCACAACTCTGTAGTATTTATTCTAATTACTGCATATGGTTTGACCATGAGGAATACCTTACTAGGAAGGGCCCATAGGGATAGCATGCACACTCTATTACAGTATTAACACACACACAGCGATGACTCTCTCATTGCATGAATTGAATCATTTTAAAATAATGATGTGCAAAGAATTCAGGATTAACTCCCTTGGCCTAAGAGTCCTACTGTAGATTCTTTCTCATTCAAGTGTGGTTCATATGGGTGTTGGAAGAGTGGAGTAGGTCTTCAGAATTTCAGTTCTGAAGTAGCAAGACTTGATGCTCCAGTCATCCTAAATATTTCTGTGTGCATGCTGAATCTGTGCTTTTCTGGATTAGTTGTGTACAAATGCCCTAGCTGTAACTGGACATCTTTCTTTTAAATAATGTTGACTTATGGCTGGTTCCCAGAGACTAAGGACTCTGACTGCAGTTGTGGTTGAGGGTTGATTCTGAAGAATTAGTGTGTGAAGCCTTCAGAAAGGTATGATTCCTAGCTAGCAGACTAAGGCCAAAAATAACTGTTGTTAGACAAATGTGGTAGTATTTTAGGGAGAATAAATTGTCCTTGAAACCAGTGCATCTGAGAATGTTTTAGGATATTCATAGTGGTTATTATGAAATAAACTGATGCTGAGCATTAGATTCATAAGAATGGCCATAGTGGGCTAGACCATCTATGGCCATAGTGGGCTGGTCTATCTAGCCCAGTATCCTTTTGTCTTACAGTGGCCAATGCCAGGTGTTTCAAGGGAATCCAGAATAGGTAATAGTCAAGTGATCCATCTCCTGTTGCCCATTCCCAGCTTCTGGAAATCAGAGGCTTAGATCCTGCAGAACAGGGGTGGGCAAAATGGCCTCTGTGGGGCGGATCCATCCACCAAGCAAGTTGATCCAGCTCACAGAGGCCCTGCCACTCCCTCCTCCGCCAGGCCAATCAGGGCCTGGGGGCGGGGGAAGCCCGCAAAGTCTCCTCCTGCCCTGCCACCACACTGCAAGGACTGCATGGTACTTAGAAGCACCGTGTGCTCCTGGCAGGGGGGAGGAGACTTTGTGTGCGTCTCCCCATCCCCAAGTCCTAATTGGCTTGGAGGCAGGGGGAATGTGCAAAGTCTCCTCCCGCCTGTGAGGGGTGCAGTGCTCCTTGCAGGATGGGGGCAGGGTGGGAGGAGACTTTGTGTGCTCCCCTCTGCCCTCAGGCCAATCAGGGCTTGGAGCAGGGGGAAGAACATGAAGTCTCCTTCTGCCCTGCCAGGGGCTCAGCACTTAGGCTACGTCTTAGGCTTCCTTTGTTGACCGTGCTGCGTCTAGACTGCCGCGCTGTGCCGGATCAGCTGATCGTCGGCACAGCGTGGCGGCCATTTTTATTTTAATGAAGCGGGCATTATTTAAATTCCTGCTTCTTTGACTATGCCGAATAAACTATTTTACATGGCTCCATTGACGGAGCCATGTGGTCTAGATGTAGCCTTAAAGTCAACTGCCAGATGCTGCTCAGCTGGCAGTTGACTCTAAGTGCAGCGCTCCCTTGCAGGGCGGGGGCAGGGAGCGAGAGACTTCACGTGCTCCTTCTCCTCCCACCCCCTGATTGACCTGGAGACAGCACGCAAAGTCTCTTCCCACTGCCAGGGGCATGGGCCCCCAGAGGGAACCACCAGATGTTCAGAAAAGCTAGTGGTTCTCTCTGGGGGGGAAGGCTTTGCTTACTCCCTCACCCCCAGATCAATCAGGCTCTGTGGGTGGGGAATCATGGAAAAGTCCTGGTCCTGCCCCCTTGCACCTGAGGCCCTGCCCCTTCCAGGGTGGCTCTGGGCCACTTCAAAAATTTCTGAAGGGGCCCCGGTCAAAAATTATTGCCTACCCCTGCTGCAGAGCATGGTTTTGCATCCCTGCTGACTAGTAGCCATTAATGCACCTCTCCTCCATGAACATATCTAGTACTCTTTTTTTTTTTTTAAACCACCTTATACTATTGGTATTTACAACACCCTTATTGCATAATTTTATTTATAATTTCTATAAATGGTGTATTTGATGCCGTTATTAACTTTATTCTGTACTTTGGCTCATTTGGGGAAGCCTTTCATTTCTATGTGCTTTGTGTCTAGCTGGTTTTAAATATGATTGAGAAAGTTGTGATTTTCAATGTGCTGAAAATGTTAATTTGATTCTTTTTTTTCCCCTAGGTAAAATATTCTTGTAAGTACTTGATAGTGTTTATCACCTGCGTCAGGTCACCATAGCTCAAGTTTAGTCCTTTGTGTACATGGTGCTCAGAACATGGAGGAAAATGATGATGAAAAACACAGCCAAGGTGGCCAGATGTTTGAAAACTTTGTACGAGCATCAACATGCAAAGGTACCATTCAGGCCTTTAATATCCTCACCTGTCAGCTGGAACTAGATCCATTGGACAACAGAAATTTCTATACTAAATTGAAGTCAAAGGTGACCAGCTGGAAGGCCAAAGCTTTGTGGAATAAACTTGATAAAAGAGCAAGTCATAAAGAATATAAGCGAGGAAGATCTTGTCTGAACACTAAGGTGAGTTGAGAACTTCAATTTCTGATTTAGAACAATTTTTAATTGCCAGATTTTGTTACCAAAGATAAACAATTATGCATAGTATAAATGATTTTCTTACACAGCAAATGAGTTATCTAAAGAGCACTTACTGAAACATGGAAATCTTACTTGTCATTTGGCATTGACTCCTTGTTTCTAGCTATGAAACTACAATAATTGTAAATACTTTCTTATTGTTGCTTTTGGATACAATTACTGTGGTTTTCCCACTAATGTTACATGGTTTCAAGTAAAGATGCAAATATAATTTAAAAAGTACCCATTTGAACTGTTATAATTGGTTACCCATTTAATATATATCCCTAGTCAGCACTCTCTCCTACACACTGTCATGGTGAGGGAAGGACTGGAGAGACTATCACATGATCCAGGGTTGTTATAGTGGTGAGGACAACCTGTCATGTGGACCAGGAGGTGTCATAGTGGCACCAGGTGCCACTATCAATGACCCAGACTCCCTCAGTGCATCACAGGACTTTGGCCAGTTTAAATTCTGAACAAAATATGTAAAGTTCTGCAAGTTGTGTTTGTCAGTAAATAAAAGCAGAGGCTCTAGCATAGTAGTGGGATCAACCTGTAGCAACCCCCTCCCCATCCCCAGGACACAGACTCCTCAGATAGGATGCATCTATCCGTGACACAGCACATGTCCTGGATCTACACTGAAAACACCCTGGAGAGCTGCCCCTCTGTGCCAGGTGTACCAATTGTGGGACAAGCAGGACCCTAGTTTGAAGGGGCTATGTGTTTGAGATCCAGGTGTGTGGTGAGAGGAGTCTGTGTGGGGCAATCTAAGTGCAGGCAGCTCACTGAGTGGGGGGTCAAGGTCTGGAAGGATCTGGGTGCACAGAGACTCATTGTGAGGGTTCCAGGTGGAGATGGTTGGGGGTTAGAAGAGCGAGCTGGGTACTGGGGGAATGGGTTTTGAATGGGTCTTGATGGAGTGGGAGTTGGATGGAGCTAGTTGGGGGTCATGACATGGAGGTCTGGTTGTGAAGGAAGAAAGGAAAGCAGCAAAATATACACCCTGGGCTTCAGAAAATCAGACTTTTACTCCCTCAGAGAATAGATGGGCAGGATATCTTGGGATGCTTACATGAAGGGGAAAGGACTCCAGGATAGCTGGCAGTATTTTAAAGAATCCTTACTGAAGGCCTAAGAACAAATCATCCTGGTGCGCAGAAAAGCCAATTTTGTAGGCGACCAGATTGGCTTAGAAGTAAAATCCTTGGTGATCTTAAACAAAAAATGGAAGCTTACAAGAAGTGGAAATTTGGACAGATGACTATGGAGGAGTATAAATATATTATTCGAGAATGCAGAGGTGTAATCAGGAAGGCAAAAGCACAATTGGAATTGCAGCTAGCAGGGGATGTGAAGGATAACAAGAAAGGTTTCTATAAGCATGTTAGCAATAAGAGGGTGATCAGGGAGGGTGTGGTGCCCTTACTGGATGAGGGAGGTAACCTAGTGACAGATGATGTGGGAAAACCTGAAGTACTCAATGCTTTTTTTGGCCTCTGTCTTCACAGACAAGGGCATCCCAGACTACTACACTAGGCAACACAGTATGGGAAGGAGGTGGGCAGCCCTCAGTGGAGAAAGAACAGGTTAAGAACTATTTAGAAAAGCTAGACATACACAAATCCATGGGGCTGGGTTTAATGCATATGAGGGTATTGAGGGAGTTGGCAGATGTCCTTGCAGAGCCTTTGGCCATTATCTTTGAAAACTCGTAGAGATTGGGAGAGGTCCTGGATGACTGGAAAAAGGCAAATGTAGTGCTCATCTTTTAATAAGGGAAGAAAGACAATCCAGGGGACTAAAGACCAGTCAGCCTTACCTCCGTCCCCGGAAGGGATCCTCAAGGAATCCATTTTGAAGCATTTGGAAGAGGGGAAAGTGATCAGGAATAGTTAACATGGATTCATGCCTGACCAACCTGATTAGCTTCTATGATGAGGTAACTGGCTCTGTGGACATGGGGAAGTCAGTGGATGTGATATATCTTGATTTTAAAAAAGCTTTTAGTATGGTCTCCCACAGTATTCTTGCCAGCAAATTAAGGAAATATGGATTGGATAAATGGTGGCTGGAAAGCTGGCTAGATTGTTGGGTTCAGTGGGCAGTGAGCAACGACTCGATGTCTGGCTGGCAGTTGGTTTCAAGTGGAGTGCTCCAAGGATTGGTTCTAGGGCCGGTTTTGTTCAACATCTTTATTAATTACCTAGATGAGAGGATGGATTGCACCCTCAGCAAGTTTGCAGATGACACTAAGCTGGGGGAGAGGTAGATACGTTGGAGGGCAGGGATAGGGTCCAGAGTGACCTAGACAAATTAGAGGATTGGGCCAAAAGAAATCTGATGAGATGGAAGAATCCCAAATATTGTTATAGGCTGGGGACTGAATGGCTAAGAAGCAGCTTAGCAAAAAAGGACCTGGGGATTACAATGGATGAGAAGCTGGATGAGTCAACATTGTGCCCTTGTAGCCAAGAAGGCAAATGGAATATTAGGTTGCGTTGGTAGGAGCATTGCCAGCAGATCTAGAGAAGTGGTTATTCCCCTTTATTCAGCACTGGTGAGGCCACATCTGGAGTACTGTGTCCAGTTCTGCGCCCCCTCCCCCTCCCCCGCCCACTACAGAAATGATGTGGATGCATTGGAGAGGGTCCAGTGGAGAGAAACCAAAGTGATTAGGGGGCTGGAGCATATGACTTATGAGGCGAAGCTGAGGGATTTGGGCTTATTTAGTCTGCTGAAGAGAGGAGTGAGGGGGGATTTGATAGCAGCCTTCAACTTCCTGAAGGGAGGTTCCAAAGAGGATGGAGAGAGGCTGTTCTCAGTAGTGACGGATGGCAGAACAAGGAGCAAAGGGCTCAGGTTGCAGTGGGGGAAGTCTAGGTTGGATATTAGGAAAACTGTTTCCCTAGGAGGGCGGTGAAGCACTGGAATGGGTTACTTAGGGTGCTGGTGGAATCTTCATCCCTACAGGGTTTTAAGTCTCAGCTTGATAGAGCCCTGGCTAGGATGATTTAATTGGGTTGGTCCTGCTTTGGGCAGGGGGTTGGACTTGATGACCTCCTGAGGTCTCTTCCAGCCCTAGGATTCTATGTGAGGGTTAAGGGTTCTGCACTCAAATCACTGATCAGGGATTTGAGTGTAGGGAGCTGAATCAGGAATGGTTTGGGTGGGGAACCAGAGGCAGAGGATCTGTGGGTAAGGGGGTTCCAGATGCAGAGATTGAGGTTCAGTGGGAGACAGTTCTGAATGTACTGGGTGAAGCTTGCCAGGAATATATGGGTTTGGGAGGCTCCAGGTGCACAAGGATTGGGTGGATGGGGGAGCAGCTCCCTTATAGTGTGTCCTTCCCCCAGCTAAGAAGAGAGCCAAGCAGGAAGCCTGGCAGGATGCTTTTCTTCATGCAGCTGGGGGAGGTTTCTGGGGATGGGTCTGACCCAACCCTAACTACTCCTTGCAGGGGAAGAAGAAGCCTTATCCTTTCCTGCCTCCAACCCAGCTAGGGCTAGCAGCTGATTCCAGGTCAGGTAGGAGTCACTGATTGGGGGCTCCTGAGCACTTCAGTGATTTACCCCTCTGCTAACCGCTCTGGGTGCGTGAGACAGTGTACATTTGCTGCTAGGAAATGGTGTGCTGCTTTTGCAGCTTCCTTTGCTTCTCTCTGTGTCCTTTTTCTGAGGGCAAGCAAAGAAATCTGTGGGGAACATGAATTCTGCACACATGCAGTGGTGCAGAATTGCCTCCAGGAGTGCTAGTTCCATTCACGTGCCCTTGGCCTCCCCATGGGCCAGGAGGTAGCAAGTGTCCACTGCAGCCTGCATCCTTAGCAAACTGCACCTGCACCCTGCGACAGCTTGGGCCCGGAGCAGATGTCCTCATGGTAGAAGTCTGGATGGTGTTTAGGGACTCAGCAGAGTCTCCTGGGCAGTTGGGGCAGCACATGTCAGTGTCTGCTCTCCAGGTAGTGTCTATGGGTAGGATGGGGGTTGTGCCCAGCCAGGATCCCTGTGCTGGCTCCTAATGCAGAGTAAGGCACCTGGGAGTGGCATTGAGAGCTCGAGAATCGAATGTATTCTGACTATTTCTGGTCCCCACTGTTCTGGGCTCTTAAGCCATTGCTCTGTGAGGGCAGAGTGACTTATCCTGCCCTGGAAACTGTCATGAGTGGTAATAGGGAAGAGGCAGATTTGTTGATGCACACAGTGTGCTCAGAGATGAAGGCAGGGAGTGCAGTTGGCTTGAGGAAATGACAGCTCTAGTAGGGATGTAAAATTTTACAAAATTGATAACATCTGTTTTAACCATTAACTGCAATATATTTACTATTAGACTGATGCATATTGGTCAACTGATGAACCCTTTACTTCTCTAACTGCAAGTAGAAGGGGGGGCAGTCTGTGTGACAGTGAACAGCATGGCGGTGTTCATTTCCATAAGATCTGGTGAGAATGTTTAGAATCCAGCAAGTCTTGTGAATATTAATGCTGTCATCAAAGTTTGATATTGAAGATTTATTTTTAACCAATTCATGCTACTGAGTTCATCAGTTTTGCTATTACATTACATTTTAAAGTAGCTCAGTTGCAACTGTAGAAATATGGCTCCCCAATTTTATGGCTGAGTTACAGCTATAAAGTATACAAAATCTAGATTGGTCCTTCATTAAGAATTCCCAGCCCTCAGAGGGACAAATCTAGGCGTTATTGGCACTTGCATAAGTAGAACATGGGGGAAAAGGTATGTGTGGTATAAAGTACACAGGATTTACATCACGAAAATTTTCATAAATTGAAATGCTCATCAATTTCATAGCTGTAATCTCTGCAAAGGAGCAGCATGGCTATTTTTTCCACTTTCACGCTCTTTAAAGAAGAACTGGGGCTCTTCAAAAGCATCTGGGAGAAAGGGCTCTTAAATCACTTGGAATGTATATAAAA